GAACGACTCGGCCATTTTAAGGTTATTAATGTCTTATCGACGTCTCTAACCTATCTTTAGGTCATATGGCACCTACTGCTGCATTCTAATATGATGGGAATGTCAAATTCAAATTTGTCCGGATTTAAGTGGCGGACCCTGTATATATTTCTTTGGTCACAGCATATGCTACAAGAAAGTTTTTGATTGCAAAAACAAACTAGAGTAAACAATGTGTAAAAAATTACATCTACTACAATATCACGTTAATGTATGTGTATATTTTATTTATATTTTTCTGGACTTTGATCGATGTTCCACACTTTTTTTATGACTTTGCCAAGCTTTCAATAACTTGCGCCTGGGATACTGACTTTCCGCCTGACAGATTTTTCGCAACAGAACTTTATTTTCTTGCATAATTTTAGTATTTTTACGATTTTGGCTGTCAATCAGATTTGATTTGTACTTGATATGAGGCGCCCAGCAATCTACATATCCCTATCAATATATTTTGAAATAAAGTCACGTGAAATTATTTATACATATATTTATTATAAGTTAATTAATATTACCCAATAACGATAATAATAATGTATTAGCGTTTTCGATCATTACAGATTGAACCGTTCTCGGCGCGCTTAATGACGTCAATTTGGCAAATTGATCAATCATATTATTTCGGACGTATATAATGGAAAACGCTATAAAATAATGATACCAACCCCAAATCGATGAATTAAGTTTATTTTTTTCAACAGCTTCATATTTTCTTTGTCTATTTCTTTAACTCTTTTGACATCTTTTTGCAATTCCTTTGCTTTCAAGTAACCAATTGCATCAAAATGCAGAGCTTTATTCTTGATCAGTGATATACAATCCAAACGGGGAGATTTCTGTGTTTTCTTACCACTCATGATTAAATAAAACTATTCTGTCTATCTTGTAAAACAATTTCTTTTTTTGAAAAATATTCTCTGTAAGGTTTGTATATTATTAAGTATAGCTTTTCACGTCAAATTTTGTTTGTAATTTTGTCATAGATTTACAACCTAAATTTACAAAAATCTTGGTTTACACACGATATCATATATTATATGAATCATATCGTATATCATATGACACAACGTTCATGTAATTATATCGTGTAACATATACAATCTGAATTTCTGAGCGATGCTAATGACGCGCGCAAGCAATTTGCCTTTGATGAATGAGCACAGTAATATGCAATGAAACTTATATTCATATGTATAAATACACGAGAAGAATAATAAACTCATCTAATTATGAGGAATACAGGGGTAATTAAATAATTAATTACATTTGGTCATTTCTTTTGACAAATTCAACATCTAATTAATATTAAATTATGTCGGGTAATAATAAGTACACAAAATGAGAGAAACCGGGTTACTTTATTACTGCTATATCATTATGTTTCAGTAATTACTTTTTGTTGTTGCATTTACACGCAAACAAAATTGTTTTTAAGAAAATAACTAAAATAATAAAAAGTATATTAAAAGTATATTAATTATAAAAAAGTATATTAAAAAGAAAAAAGCAAAATAAATAAAACTGACGTAAAGTTATGACGAAACTTTTACATTTTGTAGCACAATTTCTCTCAAGTAAAATGATATAAATATTTATTTTATTTGCATGTACTTGTGCTAATATAACTATAACAGTTGCAAGAAAAATAATGACTTGCAAAAAATACAAACTATATAAATTGCACACATTTTAATATTTACTCTAACAAAACTTACATAAACATATATTTTTGTTTGCAATGACAACACAGCATACCATATTGTTATTTTAGTTGATTATTCTCTGAATTTTGTCATTGAAATAAGTCTCCATTGTACTGCCAACAATACAAATGTTATCATTCTCGTGAAGAACTGCAAAAAATGAAATAATAAATTTATTATAAAAAGTACAGTTTTTACGACGTTTTAAAAAAACAGATTAAATTATTTTAGATCAATATATATTTCTATTATCAATATATTTCTAAACCCTAACTTATATTGTTTTGTTACATAAGAGAGAATACAATAATAATAATGTATGTAACAAATAATAAAACTTCACAAAGATTATATAAAAAGAATATTGATATAAACTCACGTTTTGCACAAAAGAGTAGCCAAAATTAAAAAGACCTAGTCCAGTAAAGTTTAACGGATGATGTATTAGTTGCAATGTAAACTGATGGATCTGTATATACAGAAGTTCTATACTTATACGTATATATGTATACATATGTTTGTATATTTAAAAATCTTATATTATAAAATTTTATAGACTATAAACTTAATTATAAAATTTTATAGATTTTAGACTATAAATTTTATAGACTATAAACTATTGTGTGTAAAAATTTATTTTTATTATACCTCATTACGAATTTCCATATACCGAAAAAAATATGTAAATTTATGAATTGTTTTGTCTATGTTATTAGCCTAAAAGTAATAAAATGTTTATATTTAAATGTTATATCCTTATACATATAGATACACACAATTTTATTCGAAAATTATTTACTTTAGCTTTGACAACTTCGCAGAAGTAATTTATACAAATTAGCCTGGCTATATATTGAATAACCCAACATTGCAGGTTAACAAAATTGAACGATGTAACAACATAGCGACCTTTTGTTATTACATGTAACAAAAAGTATGTAAGTAGTGTTGACAAATATACTAGATAGCCCATCATTTCCAAAATCATTTGGATTCCGAACATTGCGTTTAATTCACGAGCGATACGGCACAATTCTAAATGAAGCTGCCTGTTAACAAATAATATGTTTATATGCAATTATTTAATACAACATAAAATCGGAAACTTCATTAAAATAAATGCTGCTAAAGTAAAAAATATAATTGCAAAAGTAAAAACATTTTTTAATTCTTAAATGAATCTCTTTTCTCGTATCTCACTATCGTACATTTGGCATATATTATAATTACGCATAAGCAGAAAGAAACCTTATGACATGTTTCAATGCGTTGGATATTGTTACTAAAGTAGAAAGAGAGAGAGAAATTTTACAACATTCTTCTGACTGATCACATCCAATCCCAAAACTTTTATTTTAATGTAGTTCGAGTATGAGAAAAAAGAGAATATGTATGTAAATATTAAAAATATGAGAATATGTATGTTAGAATATTAAGAATATTAAAAAGAAAATATTAAAAATATGAGAATATGTATGTAAATATTAAAAATATAAAAACTTTCTATCAAACTTTAAATTACTACTTTCATTAGTGTCATTAAGGTTAAATTCAAATCTAAATCATTGATCCATTCAAGCACATCGATTTACATTGAAGTCCAGATTATATGTTTGTAATTGTCGGTACTACATATGATATGTCGATAATTGTCCGGTATAGTTTCTCTCCACGTGCATCTCAATTCTCCACGTTCCTCTTTTATCAGCAGACAGTTTATGAGTTCGTTTACATTGTCAAATTTAATACCAATGTACCTACATTGTAAGGCAATAATAAATATAAAAACGTATTCACTCTCATACAATTATTATAATTTAATGAATTAATTAATTAATGTAAATTCTAAGATATATAAGTTAGAGAGAAATATATACACATGTGATATAAAAAAAATCTTATTTCTAATCTAAATTTCATTAATATAATTAAATAATTTGAATAATTTGAATAATATACAAACCACAAAAAAATCAAAAATACTAAATTTACTATCATACTGACATGATACATATGATTTATGATAAACGTTAAAAAGAAACACCAAGGATTTCTTAGTGCATAGATCCACCATATCATGTCACATACATTTGTTATAATGATACATATTATCCACATAATTATTATTCTTTTTATATATGTGTGCACTTTATCACATTTTAAATTTGAAATGCCTAGTTTTGTCAACGTATTGTCTACAGCAACAAGTCGCTTCAAAAAAATCTGAAATCTCTAAACAATATTACATTACATACAGATTTCTGCTTTATAAGAAGACAAATTATTATTTAAAAATATGCGACCTACAATATTTACAGACAAATATGACATACGTGTACCTTGTTTTGATATACACTAAGAATAACGGATGATACACAACTAGAAATGCCTAAAAAAACTTTAATTAAGGGAATAAACTCTGAATAAAACACTTCTGCTTTAAACGCAATCACTGTATAATAAAAGAGGCAAAGGTATATAACCCACATTATTAATCTATAGCAAAGACTTAAATATTGCTTCTTTTGGTTATAAACACCTACACCAAAAATTGAGCACATCAGAAGCAGAGGGTGTACAGCTTGATCTATAGCAATTGTCATAGTTACCACTTTCTCTCAGTTCCTACCGTAAACTGTTATCGTATGTTTCAACTTAAACTGACAACGTAGAACCTATTTGTTACAAGGCTAAACTAACAGTTAAATTAATGCATTAACGCATCATGCATCACTCAATTTCTCCGCAAATATACGCAATGACGCAGTCGGTCAATATCGCTGGGCAATATTAGAGACAATAATAATATAACGTGCGACTACTTGCTTATAGAGCCATTAGAGAAAATATGATATAAGATCGATATAAAACCTACATTAATATAGCATGACTGGAATACGACAACATACTGTCAGAACAGCAATAATCTACGATTAGTATATATTTTTACATGTGTCTCATTCTTACAACAAGAATAAAAGAATTATATACCTCAAAACGTACGAAAGTAGTAGTAAAGAAAACAAATACAAAAATTTTTTAAAAGTGGTTTTTTACTTATTAAAAACACATTCTCGCATTTATTTTAGAAGATGTGTTTACTACAAAAGTGTCCACTTGCATCAGTAGAAAAACAATAGTAAAAACCTAGACAGCAAACTAAAAGCAAATGTTACATAAATGCTATTTTCTACTGTTATTGAGAATTAAAAGAAAAAGAGAGTGAAAGAAGAGAAATCACATTTCTTGATTTTGTTTATTTATTGAGATAAATATTATTAAAAACTAACCGAACGGACAAACTTATATCCAAAATAAAATAAGCCCAATCCGCAAATAAACTTCAGTGGATGAAGCGATATTTGCAGACCAAACTGATAAATCTGTATTAAAACGCATATTGTGTTATACAAATCTAAAGATATTCAAGAAAATTTATATAAAAAAATTGTGTGCTTAATTTATATTACCTTATCATACGCATCTGCAAAACGAATAAGATTGGTCAATTTTAGAATTACGATTTTGGTTCTTTCTGCCTAAAAGCAAGTTAGGTTTTAGAAAGGAATCTTTTTATAATATTGTTTCATATGATACAAAGTTATATTACCTTGGCATTAACACTTTCACAGATATGATTTACCATTAAAAGTCTAATTAAATATAAGGTGATCCATAATGTGCTGGTAATAATAAAGTATCATTTTATTAATCCGTTCTCGTGGCGCAAACATAACAGTACATGACATATAATATACGCAAATCCCGTAAACGTAACAAAATAAGATGCCATTTATACTGTCATTCGCACTCCGTATAAAGCATTAATATTGCGAGCCACATAGCAAAGTTCCAAATGAAGATGCCTACAGAAAAAGAAACGTTTTACATAAATATTTTTTTACATTTATGTCCATTTATATAAGACAGTAAAAAGGACTGTGTTTTATGTTTTATACTCATTTTTGTTTTTTATTTGAAAATAATTGAAAGATTTATGTTATTAAATATCTAAGTATCGAGCAACATTCTCTACAGTATATAAATTACAAGAATATTACTTAAATATACAATCAATACAAAAGAGTATTAGAAATGTATGCAAAACTTTGTACAAGTAAAAGTATAAAGTATAGTATTTTGTACAACCGAGAGTATAAATTATTTAGTAATAAGAACACACTATTTTTAAATGATA